AGAGAGAGAGAGAGAGAGAGAGAGAGAGAGAGAGAGAGAGGTGTTCAGAGGAACAGGGCTCTGTAAGCCTGTGTGCAGAGTGTGTGTAAGTCTGTGAAAAGAATACAGATAAGGCAAAAACAAGACTCACTGCTTGTTTTGAGCAACCAAAGGCTTCTGTGGCTTCCTCAGACCAGTGTCTAAAAGAGTAGAAGCTATTCAGAAAGAGGCATCACTATCTGTCTGGAGGATGGATAGAGGTCTGAAGGGACAAGCAGGAATCTGGGATGTGATTAGCTTTATTTTCCACAAACAGAGACAACCTGTTTTTCAGGAAACAGGATTTGAGAAATGCCATGAAGAGAGTGGGCACTGGGGACATCAGTCCCTAACCTGCCAGAGTCAGAACAGGAGATGGGCAAGAACAGACTAGGGTTCAAAAACTCAAGTTAATTTGAATTAAAGGAGTGACTATTCATACACCATATCATGTACAGATGTTTTCTCATGAGACATTTATTCTTTCAAAACAAAGGGATATTTGTCACACTGAGACATCATATCTGGGCTCAGTCTCATCTTAAACTGACTATTTGTTTATTTATTTATTTATCTACTTATGGGGGAGAGACACACACCATGTCCTGTGTGTGGAGCCCAGAAGACAATTTTGGGGAGTGCTATCCTTTCACCTTAATGCGGCAGAGTCTCTTGGTTCTGCCATCCTGTATGCTTCAGGCTAGCTGACCCACGAGCTACTTTGAAGGTCACTCTACAGTCTCTGCCTCCTACCACCTCCAGTAGAAGTCCTCATTACAGATGCATGCCACTTCTCACAGCTTTTCCTTACACAGGTTCTGGGCTCTATCTCAGGCCATTGGGCTTGGTTGGTGTCAGAAATAAGCCAAACTGGGCTGGTTACACACTGGGGCCAACAAGGCTCTGGTATTTTATTCCTGACGTGTCTTGTGACTGCACCCTATCCTACCCGTGAAGCTTGACTTTGCAATCTGGCATGATTGGTTAATCCATGCAAAGAGGTCAGGGAATGCTCATGAAATATGAGTCCTTGCTGGGCCAGCTACCTAGGAAGGGAGGGAGAGAGGAAGGGAGGGAGAGAGGGAGGGAGGGAGGGAGGGAGGGAGGGAGGGAGGGAGGGAG